GTTGGGGAAACATTTCAAGCCAGGATAAGAGAAAATTTCTTATTCAGGTTTGACCAGGTTTTCAGGCCGTGAAAAGAAGTCTTTTGCATTGTGTGCCACCTCTCCCTCCAGCACTGCTTCCAAAACTATGTCGGATCCCGCAACATGATCTTTGCAAGGAGGTAACAATCCAGCAATTTCAGCTGATACAGGGAGGATTGTGAGGCCAGAACCATCAGTCAACTCATTTAGAATCTCATTATTTGTGGATGCAGTAGTGAGTGACGAGGATTCAGCTAATCTTGCATAAGCAGTAGCTTGGCTGTGGATGTCAGATGTATTGAGATATCTTCCTACTTTATAGAGATAGAGATAGAGTTTTCCATATTAATCACGTTGTTATATCGGTCTATATATGAGTCTATATATGACTATCTCTTGAATCAATTTTTCCAATATAATGAAAACATCTTTTACCATATTGTTTTACATGGTACAGAGCAAACCCTAAAATTTTTTTTTGAGCCGTCAACCACCATTTTTTTTTTCTTTCTTCTCCGGCTCCATTTCCTTCTCCGCCGACATGGTCGAAACCTCCTCTACTTCCGGTGATCTTCCTCCTCCACCATCATCTGTCATCACTCAACCTCTCGTTGATATGAAATCCCCGTATTACATCCATCCCTCTGATCATCCCGGCTTGTTATTTGTCACCGATCCGTTAGTCGAAACCGGCGACAATTACTTTACTTGGCGGAATAGCATTTTAACTGCTTTTGAATCCAAAAATAAAGCTGGATTTCTGGATGGTACGATCTCCAAACCCGCTGTTAATAGCGATGGTTTCCAAAGTTGGATCCAATGCAACGCTTTGCTCAAAGCCTGGATCACCAACGCGGTCTACAAGGAACTCAAACTCGGCGCTGCAAACACACATTCTGCCTTGGAGATTTGGCAGGATTTTCAAGAACGCTTCACGCAAGGAATCGCCCCTCGCGTCTATGATCTGAAGCGTACCATTGCTTTGCTGCAGCAGGAGAAGGCTTCCACAGCAACCTACTATGGCAAACTGAAGTCTGTTTGGAATGAATTACAGAATCTTCGTCCATTGCCGGTTTGTTCCTGCTGCGTTTGTTCTTGCGGCGCGAAGAAGCAACTAGAAAATATCCGTGAAGAAGAAAAGGTCTATGACTTTCTCATGGGGCTTGATGAAACCTACAAAACGGTGCGATCTCAAATCCTTAGTCTCGAACCGTTACCGACCTTGGGCAGAGCTTATTCTATTGTTGTCGGTGATGAAAAACAACGCAGCATCTCTGATCAACGTCTTCCCGTCGTCGAAGCCACCACCCTGCTTGTCAAATCTCCGGCTGATTCTCGCCGTGATAACCGCCGCCGAGACGTTCGGGATAGGACTGATCAACGCAGCGGCAGTGGACCAAACAAACTTCTCTGCTCGCATTGTCAGCGTACCAATCACACCGTCGATCATTGCTTCGAATTGATCGGCTATCCATCCGGTTGGCGACAGCCTCAACGCCAGCAGCGTTCTCGCCCTGTTACTGCGGCTTTCTCTTCTGTCACGGACGCCATGTCCCCTTCCTCAGCAGCAGCCGCCACTCTCACTCCATCACAGGTTCAGCAGCTCCTTGCCATGTTGGGTAATCAGCCGCCCATGGTTGCTGCGCCTTCTTCCTCCACTCCGTCTTCCGGTAAGACAGATTGGGCAGCCGATTCCGGCGCCACTGATCATACTACTCATTTGATTCATTCCTTGAAGAATGTTTCTCGACCTTCTCATCCTATTTTTGTCCAAATACCTAATGGTGCTAGGGTTCCGGTTTCCACAGTTGGTCATTTTCATTTTGACAAAAATTTAGTCTTCAAAGATGTTCTGGGGGTTCCTCAATTTCGATTTAATCTCGTTTCTGTTAGCAAACTCACTCGAGATTTAAATTGTTTCTTCACTTTTGGTCCTAATTTTTGTTTTATTCAGGACTTACGCTCGAGGAGGCTGATTGGAGTGGGTAGAGAACGTGATGGATTGTACTACTTGGAGCATTTAGATACTGGTGGCGGGCGGAACATTCTGTTGACACAAAAGGATAGCTCATCTACCTTATGGCATCATCGTTTGGGCCACTTGCCAATCAGTCGCCTTTCTATCATTCCAAGTATTTCATTTTCTAGTCCACAGTCAATTTCAATTTGTGATGCTTGTTGTCGAGCTAAACAGACACGTTTGCCATTTCCTTTGCATACCAATAAATCCCTACATACATTTGATTTGATTCATTGTGACATTTGGGGTCCTTATCATACCCCCTCTCATTCTGGAGCACGTTTTTTTCTTACTATTGTTGATGACTATAGTCGTGCTACTTGGGTTTTTTTAATGAAGCATAAATCTGAGGTTAAACGGTATTTATTGATGTTTTTCAATTGGGTTTTCACACAATTTCAAACTTCCATAAAGATGTTTCGTACTGATAATGGTTTGGAATTTACCCATGTTGATTTGCAAAATCATTTTTTTGATTATGGTATGGAACGCCAAACTAGTTGTGTTCACACTCCTCAGCAAAACGGGGTTGTCGAACGCAAACACCGTCATCTTTTGGAAGTGGCTCGAGCCCTTCGGTTTCAAGCTCACCTCCCGATTGCCTTTTGGGGTGAGTGCATCCTCACTGCTGCATATTTGATTAACCGTATGCCCCTGTCTGTGCTTAATAACAAAACCCCCTATGAGCTTTTATTTGGTATATCCCCTGAGTATACACATTTACGCACTTTTGGTTGCCTTTGTTATGCCCACGTTCCGGGCAAACCCCGAGATAAGTTTGATTCTCGTGGTAAACCTGGAATTTTTGTTGGCTATCCTCATGGTCAAAAGGGATATAGGATCTATGATTTGGACCGCAGGGTGATTTATTCTTCCCGTGATGTCAAATTCTTTGAAAACATCTTTCCTTATTCTCGAGGCCTCGATACTTCTAATCCTTCCACTGCTCAAGACAATGATCTTCTTGCCCACCAATCAGCTTCCGATCCTATTCTACCTACTCCACCTTTGAATGCTCCGCAGTCCTCTATAGCTGATGAACTTCCTACCTCAGTTTCTCCGGTTTCGTCCTCGCCCGCTGCTACTTCTGCATCTCCTCCACCAGTAAGGCGCACTCGTCAACTCTCTCGTCGCCTCACTGATTTTGACATCAATCTTCCGCCCTCATTGCTCCCTAACAATCCATCATCGTCCTCGACTCCTCCTTCAGATTCCTCGACGGTACATCCCCTCTCTCATACTTTATCTTATTCCCGCTTTAGTGCTAATCATACAGCTCTCCTTGCGGCCATCTCTTCTGTTGATGAGCCCACTTCATTTTCTCAGGCCATTAAACACCCTCATTGGTGTGCCGCTATGGCCCAGGAGATCTCTGCTTTAGAGGCAAATCATACTTGGACTCTTGTTTCTCTCCCCCCTGGGAAGCGCACCATCGATTCTAAATGGGTCTACAAGACCAAGTTCAAACCGGATGGTAGTATTGAACGTTACAAAGCCCGCCTTGTCGCTAAAGGTTATACTCAAGTTGAAGGAATCGACTTTCATGATACCTTTGCTCCTGTTGCTAAATTAGTCACTGTTCGCTGTCTTCTTGCTGTTGCCTCTGTTCGTCGTTGGGCCCTCCACCAGTTGGATGTCACCAATGCCTTTCTTCACGGCGATCTTCATGAGGAAGTCTACATGAAAATACCTCAAGGCTTTGCTAAAAAGGGGGAGACTCGGGTTTGTCGTCTCCAAAAATCTCTTTATGGTTTAAAACAAGCTTCGCGAAACTGGTACCAAAAGTTCACTCATTCTCTGCTTGAAGCGGGTTTAGGAGTCCGCTTCGACCCTCGTTATTTCTCTCTTCCAATGCGACCTCCTTTGTGGCCATTCTCATATATGTTGATGACATTATTGTGACTGGAAATGATTCTCAGAAGATTCTGCACCTTAAACAGCATCTTCATCGTCAATTTCATATCAAGGATCTTGGTCCTCTCAAATATTTTCTTGGTATTGAAGTTGCTCGATCTTCCTCTGGCATCTTCCTAAGTCAGCGCAAATATACTTTGGATATTCTTGATGAAAGTGGTCTTCTTGGTTGTCGGCCTTGTTCTACTCCAATAGAACATCAGCACCACCTTAATCTTGACTCGGGCGACCTCTTTTCTGATCCTGGCCGTTATCGTCGTCTCGTGGGTCGTTTACTCTACCTTACCATTACTCGTCCGGACATCAGTTATGTTGTGCATCTTCTCACTTAGTTCCTGCATCAACCACGGGTTCCGCATTATGATGCTGCTCTTCGTATTCTCCGTTACTTAAAGAATGCACCCGGACAAGGCATTTTACTCCCATCTGTCAACTCTCTTCAGTTGCGTGCCTATTGTGATGCTGATTGGGCTGGTTGTTCAACCACTCGACGGTCCACTACTGGTTATATCGTATTTTTAGGTTCCTCACCTATCTCCTGGCGATCCAAGAAACAATCTGTGGTCTCCCGTTCTTCCGCTGAAGCCGAATATCGGGCAATGGCTACCACTGCTAGTGAGATTGTCTGGCTCAACCGTCTCCTTCAGAACTTTGTGTCCGTCGACGCATCCTATTCCCCTCTTTTGTGATAATCGTGCCGCCATTCACATTGCCTCTAATCCAGTTTTTCATGAACGCACGAAACACATTGAGATCGACTGTCATTTCATCCGTCAGCACATCCAGTCAAAACTCCTACTTCCCCATTCGTTTCTTCTACTTCTCAGTTGGCTGATTTTCTCATCAAGGCACTGGGACGTGATCAGTTTCATTCGATTCTTTCCAAGTTGGGCATTCTGGATCTTCATGCTCCAACTTGAGGGGGAGTATTGAGATATCTTCCTACTTTATAGAGATAGGGATAGAGTTTTCCATATTAATCACGTTGTTATATCGGTCTATATATGAGTCTATATATGACCATCTCTTGAATCAATTTTTCCAATATAATGAAAACATCTTTTACCATATTGTTTTACAAGATGGGTGTAATGTCGGTGAACCTTGATCCTTGGCTTTTGGGTTTCCTAATGTGCTCTCTTTCCCTGATTTTTCAGGCCCGATTTCAACATTGCTAGGAAGTGCAGTTTCCACATTGTCCACGAACCTTCGAGTCAAAGGGAAAGGATTTATGGAAGATATAGTTCGAATTTCATGACGAATAGCTTCTAACTGTGCAATTGTATCTTGCAGTTCTTTATGCACCTGGCGAGCTTGAGTTTGTTGCATAAAATTGTCAAATTGGCCACGGGCGACTTGGACATATCCAATGGCGCGTCCAGCTAATCTACCAGCGGTTCTGGCAATTATTGGTAAATCCTTAGGGCCAATTAGAACGGCAGTTGCTCCAATTATAAGAAACAGCTCCCCATATGAAATGCCCAGCATCACTATTCCTTTCTTACTCACCCTACCCGATGCCCAAAGCAGCAGCAGCAATATCACTTGCTTTTAATCACAACCATGAGTTGGGGATACCTTAGTTCACCGGAGTCTCCGTCAGTCGGATTGGAGTCGCCGTGGTTGGAGGCGCCGGATTGGAGGAGTATCGCCGGGTTGGAGGCGCCACATTGGAGGAGTGTCGCCGGGTTGGAGTCGCCGGGTGAGGACACAGAGGAGTCGACGTGGTTTGGAGGCACTTCGATTTGGACGGGTGAGGACACAGAGCAGTCGCCGGTATGGGGGTGGGGGTTGGGGAAGAAGCGATTGGGGTGAATCGGCGGCTAGGGTTCGGCCGCCGATTGGGGAAAATTTCGAGTCAAAGGGTTTCAGTCGCGGGTCGACTGGGGGTCGAAGGTAGAAGAGAAGCTATTGGTATTAGATAACATATTTGAAATTAAGTTTACTATTAATAATAAACATAATTTTATAACTATTTTGTTGTATCAAAAGTATCCGCTCGCAACATTTTCACTGTTACTTAATACTCATAAATCTATCGAAATTGACCAAATTTAAAATAATCATATATATTAGTATTAGAAAAAACTCTAATGAATCCTTAATATAAACCAAAGATTTTTCAGATTATCAAATATGTTTCTTCCTACAATCTTTTTACCATTTTCCAGTTTCATAAGATTGTAGGGAATCAAGCCGACCAATCATCGAAGTTATCTTGATGACATTCAGAGAAAAGAAAACATCATATGTCCAAACATGATCTTAAGATAAATGATTTATGACTCTCCACATTATCGATTTGGGAATAACAGCTGCCCATCATCATCTAAGTGATAATGTTCATGGTATAGCTTGGCAGTCTGGTTGCCCTGGAATAATTTTTAATGGGAAATTTCAAACTAAGGCAAGTTAACTGGAAATCTGAAATCTCTCATCTCTCTTGTCTCTATGAAATAATAAGCTTAGGGGAGAAAGGGATTTTAAAGTACCTGACTAGGTTTTCAAAAAAAAGAAAAAGAATACCTGACTACTCTGTATATGCATACTTGTCATCTTTCAGGGCCAACCCCAAAAGAAATTGAGAATCAAACATTTCTTGTGGCAATTTCCATATCAATTAAGGGAGTTGATCTTGTTTGTGCATTTCTTACAACTCGGACCTGTTCCTTTCTCCGTTGGGAAGAAGAAACCCATCTAATCTTGTGTTCTTTTGTTCGGAAAGAGAATCAGGAAAAAGAAATCTCGTATTAAATGGAAAATATTTGTTCATTAAAGGAATGTTTAATTGTTTTTTATATATTTCAAATATGCATTGGATTAGTAATTATTTGACGATTACTGTATTTCTTTTTTCATAGGTATGAGAATGGAATTTTAAATTTTGAATAAATTAAGGGGAAAAAAAAGAAATTTTGTGCAATGATTTTTTAATAAAATGAATTTTCATAACCATGTCATGGTTTAAATTCACTTAAAATATACTAAAATTTATTTTTTCCCTGATTAATAAAATTTGCGGGATAAAAAAAAGATATATTATTGTAATGGAGTGAAATTATCATTACTTGGTATAAGTAATATTATTACTTGGTCATTTTATGTTGTAAAGATCATTACAGTAGCCGAAAAATAAATGGAGACGGAATCAAATCACCATCAACTTCATTCCCTTTACTGTTAAAAGAACAGTGACATCTTTTTCAAAAATAGCTGAAAAAATACTATTGCAGTATCGAAATTGTCATCTCAGTAAATAAGGTCACATTAATCTTTTGAAATATATAGTTGAAAAATTCAACACAGTACCTTCCAACTGAATTCAATAATATCACACAACTACAAAATTCGGAACTAGGAAATGCTGAAACAACGGCAAAATTAGATTGGATCAAAGAGGTCAACCGTGGCCTATATGCATCAAATTAAGCAAAGAATGTTTGTTTCGAATATCACGATCCGTTTTTTAATAACTATCGAAAATCGAATTCTCGACCTGCTGGTAATACCCATTTCCATGCAGAACTTGCTTATCCACAATGGAAGTGGATGAAACAACGGTGGCCTTTATTAATTTCAATGTTCTAACAATTGAAGTATACTGATGGGAAGACCTCCAAGCATCATCAAAATCATCAGTTCAATCTACAACCCCACCACATGATGTATTACTACTGAAAGACATTCTTGATCCAAGTCTACCTTTTCCGATTACAAGGAATGAAGTTGAAGAAAAAGTAGTATTTGGTGGCTAAATTGGCCTTATTATGTATAGATCCAAATCCTAAACTGAGGCCTACCATGAAGTATGTTCCCTCACCAGTTTTTGATACCAATACCATATCTACACATCATGCTTCCCATCATCACAACTGGACAATTTTATTCCAAGCACTTTCACCTTTTCTTTTCTTCTGCTGAATGTATGATCACGATTTCATTTTCTTATATTTGAAATAAATAAATGTCAAACTGCAAAAAAAAAAAAAAATTTACTTTGATGAAACATGCTTGTCATTTCGAGTAGTTTCTTTGCCCCCATATGAACGAGATGGTCATAACCTCATTTTAGATCATTGGGCTCAAATTGGGCCCATTTCAGAATTTTCAAGCTGGGTTATGTTGTCTGAGTTATCTCCTTTCAAAATGTTCATTTTCATTTGTCTCCTTTCCCTTTGATTCTCATTAAAACCCACATTTGACCATTGTTTTAGGAAGAAGGGAATCCCTTTTATTATTATTATTACTCTATTAAAGTAGAAAACAGGATGTTAATGTGGCAATTTTTTATTAAAATATTTTGGCTCCAAATGCACCATATTGCATAAACTATTCTGTCACGTGTCACCCCCTTTTAAAAACAAAAAATATATTTACAATATTAAAGAAGAGATCAGATGGCCATGTTCATTCAAATTTTGAATTTGACAGTAAATGGAACTTTCCTTCTCCACTAAACTTCTCCACTTATTTAGAACTTTCAAAAAAATTAATTTTCGGTCAATCAATTATCTTCATCAAAAACTAAATTCATTTCTAATCAGTTTTGATTATTTACATATCAATTTATTAGGTGAAAGGACGCCCCCGGCAAAATGCCCGGGGCAAGCATCTAGTTACAATTATTACAGTTTTTTTTTCTTCTTTTTTTTACTAATTGAGAATATACAAGGCTAATCTGAGTTTACGCGATTGAAATTCACCTTAGTTACCTCTAATTTCATTCATCAAAACTTTCCGTCAAATTTTGTCTATTTTCTGTGAATACTCTCTTCGTTTTTAAGAAAACTACTAATTAATACATAAATAAAGACAACAATCAAACAAACAAAAGAAAAAACAAAGGAAATTTCTTTTCTTTCTTTTTTTTTGGAATGTTGAACAGTGTATCTTTGTTAATGACGGGAAGCAGGAGGAACCTTTGTCTCTAACAAATGTAATGTCTGAATATTAAATTACTACCGCTAATGAAGAAAGATATTTCACAAGTACCAAAGAAGCATTGGTAAAGACCATTTTTCATCATTGCATGGAAAACCTTAATTTCCCACAAAAAGTGGCAATGCCTTGAGCAAAGGATGACCTAGATTAGGAGTACTAGACTAACCTTTTTGTGCCAATAAATTATGGTTTAATTCCATATGGTTAATTAAAACAACTGTTTAATGGGAAAATCAATATCTATAATTACCATTACACGTTAGTCAAGTGTAATTACAACACAAATGGTTGTTCTCTTCATAATTCCGCCAGCGAAACTTAAAAATTTTGGACTGGCCTTCACGTACAAATATGATAACCAAACAATAGAAAAAAAAAATCCTATTTAAATTTTTCTCATCATGTGAGGGGAATAACGTACAAATATAATCTTGATGCCATGATGAAAGTTACATTGACTATGAAAACGTTGTCGGTTGTCCAATGTCCAGGTCCATATGCTTTACATTACAGGTTTCCGTACTCTGTATTTTCAAATGGTCTATACAACTTATTTATACTCTCTATGACTCTAATGCATAGGGTGATTGAATAATTCGTTTTCTTAAATTACTCTGTTCGTCTAAAAATAAGTATTAGTTTAGTATTACTATAGAAAATTGACTAAAAAAAAGAGTGAAATAATTGATGCTAGTTGAAAACCGAAGAAGGGTAATCACATATCCAATTACAAAGGGAAGAATAGTATTCCCTAATTATGTCCCAAAATTATTATCTAGTTTAAATAAAAATTCAAATGGGACAATAATTTTGTGACAGAGGGAGTACGTATTAATAATTAGCAAAAATATTGTGCCAATGGCCAAATGAATGAAGCTACCTGCCATCATCGTCGGTCCATATTTACTACTAACGCTAACTTCAATAAGAAGAACTACTACTATACAACGTTAATTTGCAATCTCTCATTTTCAGGCCTGTTCAAAACAATGGGATCAAGATGGAATCTTGTTTGAAAACGATATACTCCATCCGGTACAAATTTACATATTATAAATCATGCCTCATCATCAGTACAAAATAACAATGCCTGTTTTCACAAGTTTTTTGAGCCATGGCATGTGATCGCGGATCTGCAATCAAATGTCGAACCAGTAATTCGGGCAAGTTATTTTGATAACCCTACATTGTTTTTTTCCCGCTTGCTATAAGTCAGAAATGGAAACCCAAAATTAACTATTTATTTAACCTCAATTCTTGCAAGCTTAGGTCTGAAATTAATAACGTGGTTAAAAGTTATCTCTCCATCCCCAACAAAAACAAAAAAAAAAGTTTTACAATTTTTAATACAATTCACGACTGATAATGTGAATTATCTTCTCTTGAATAGACAGAATACTGATAATAATATTATCAAATAGAAATGGATGAGTTTTTTTTCTTTTAGGGAATACGACATTATCCATGTCTCTCACTCTTAGCAACGTTGTGAGTTACTCCTTCCATCCCATAATTATTGTCCAGTTTTGATTTTCATTTCTAGTTCAAATTGTACTAAAAGTGAAATTTTAAATTGGACAATAATTTTGTGACAGAGGGAATACATGATTTCAATATTAAAAAAGAACCCAAAACAATAGAGATTGTTGAGTAAAAAATTTTGGTGATCAAAATTGAGCGACAAGTTAAAATGTAGATGTTCACCGGCTTATTTGCCCTACTAATTTCCATAATGGAAGCACGATGACTATATTCTAGTAAATCAACTGTGTATGTTGTTTCTTTGCATGTAATTCTCTGGTAACTAACGGTAATATCTTTTCACAAAATAACCCATTAAAAATAAGATAAACAAATTAAGCATTTAATTAAACTTAAAGATCCCTTTATTAGCTCTTTATCCAGTACCTCAAGAAATTCCGACTTTCTCTCTGAAAAACAAAATAATAAAAAAAATTGTGGAAACCGAGAGGGTTACTAATTCACTATATATGCAATCTCTCTACTTTTGTGACATCTTCTCTTTTTCTGGGGACCCAATTAGAGAAAAGATTTTGATATTCTTTCCAAATATGCGGGTCTTTTCTTTAGCACAAATTATTTTTAGAAAGTCTCCACTATGCGTAGAAAGACTTTTACATGCACGTGAAAATTACACACAAACATATATATTCACTTTAAAGGAAAAGATATATACAGACAGT